GGCAGATTTATTTCGTCTTCTGCAGAATTCATCTTATACACGAGGAAAGTTTTTTATTCTCTCCACCAGGAGAGAGCGAGAGATGAACCTGCACTACAGGAGTCTGGAAAATCCTGAATTGCTGTGCAGGCACAAAAGCACCCTAAATTTGGGGGCTTCATTCTCTTGTTCTGAACTAACACTCAGCTACAGTTCTAGGTATAGAGACGGTTTGGTTTTAAATCACCTTTCTGATCCCCCTCCCTCCATATGGGCATTACTTTGGATCCTAGCTGGCCTAAGTTGCCTTGCTGTGTGCATAAAGCAAGGAACAAGAAAAATATTTGTGCCAAGGTATTAAAACAGCTAAGAAGGATGGGAACATCAGCTCGGTGGGAACATCAGCTCCCACCCCCTAAGAACAGCCTCTCAAATGTTTATATTGTCTAGCTATTTGTTGTTTGTGTCTCAAAAGCCTGCACTAAGATTCTTACTGTATTGGCTGGACATAACTTGTGTGTTTTGCTGGCTTGGGTTTGGGGAACTCCCTAACCCTCCCAGCTACAACTTCAAGAATGACCTCATCTTGCCTTTTTACCTTGCAGTCAGTCCCATCCTCAGCAATCTCATGCAAGGCAAAAGGCCTTCCTCTTGTTTTATAAAAATGCCTGAATGATATTTTACAGCACGACAACAGTTACAGACAGTAAAGTGTTTTGCTTCAGAAACCCTTAAAAAAAAATCACTGTGAAAATGTATGTATCTCCCTAAAGATTCAATTCCTTACTTGGAATTAAGTGCATTTGAGTTCAATGCATTTACTTTTAAGTAGGTGTGTGTAAAATTGCACCTTATGGTTGCAAACCTAAACACACCAGGGAGTAAGTCTTAATCAATGAGTAAGTTTCAGTCAGCTGAATGGGACTTCCTTCTGAGTAAACATGTAGAAATTAGGCTGCATGCCAATTTTGCTTTGGGACTCAAGGGCAGAAAAAGCAATTGGGAGCTGAAGAGGAGATCAGTGGGCCACTAGAAAAGATATGGCAAGTAATATCAGGCATCAAAATATTTCGTGGGCTTGCACTTCTTTACTTACATAGTCACTACAGAATCTGTTTTCGACAACAGCAGTGTATCCACAAAGCTTGCCCTGCCACCAGAGATTACGTTGCAGGTTTTCCAAGCTAGATACAGTGGTACCTCGGTTTACATACGCTTCAGGTTACATACGCTTCAGGTTACAGACTCCGCTAACCCAGAAATATTACCGCGGTTAAGAACTTTGCTTCAGGATGAGAACAGAAATCGTGCTCCGGCGGCGTGGCAGTAGCAGGAGGCCCTATTAGCTAAAGTGGTGCTTCAGGTTAAGAACAGTTTCAGGTTAAGAACGGACCTCCAGAATGAATTAAGTACTTAACCCGAGGTACCACTGTACAGTCTTTTTTCTCCTATTCGAATCTTAACTTGAAATAAATAAGCAAACAAACTTGCTGTTCTACAGATTGTCCTTAATGCCACTGCTGCTCCTTCTGAGTCAGTAGGAGGCACACTTTATAAGGAATACTGACTAGAGGCTACCAGCCGCATGCCCAACTCTGCAGCTTCCCAGATGTACCGTATTTTTTGCTCTATAAGACTCACTTTTTCCCTCCTAAAAAGTAAGGGGAAATGTGTGTGTGTCTTATGGAGCGAATGCAGGCTGCGCAGCTATCCCAGAAGCCAGAACAGCAAGAGGGATTGCTGCTTTCGCTGCGCAGCGATCCCTCTTGCTGTTCTGGCTTCTGAGATTCAGAATATATTTTTTTCTTGTTTTCCTCCTCCAAAAACTAGGTGCGTCTTGTGGTCTGGTGCGTCTTATAGAGCGAAAAATACGGTATTTTGCCATTTCATGCTGCAGGCTAGTAATTTCATTCTGAGCCAGTGCTGATTTGCGACAGGGAGTGAGGCTGCCTGGTCTCCACACAGCCATATTTTCTCCTTTGCATGTGTCATGCTGCCATGCCATCAGTTCCTGCCATCGTGCCTTGAGGCACAGCCGTGAGCATCAGTGCAGCGCATTAAAACCATCCTTGTGGGAGCTGTCTCAGTAGTATGGCTACAGCATGAGAGAAACATATCTCGCCTTGTCAAATGGTACCTGAGATTATCTGGGAAGAGCAACCCAGAGGTGTGTGTACACACTTGGCCAATATGCATCTGCGCTGATAAAAGTACCTCCCCAAATTTCCCGGCCATTAACCTCGGTCTATGCCAAGGGAAGCTCAATTGTGCAGTCTGTATCCATTCTACAAACTGAATAGCAGAGACTTGCTAATTTGTTTAATTTATGCTAATATGGAGGAGTCAATGAGTTATTTAAGGCATTTGAAACCATGACTGCAGCAAATTCTGCTCAGCCTTCCTTCCCCCCCAAATTCATAAAGCATTCCCCCCCCCCCCCGAAACCTATAACGATAGCCAAGAGAACTGGGAACTCTGTGTGTCTTAACTAAAGCAAAAACAGAATTCTCCAGTCATTTCCAAACTACATGCTTTTCCTAAGTTTTGTGCAGAATCATGGGATGCAAACAGACTTGTTTTATCTAATGTCACTATTATCTTGTATATATTGTTTTAACGTCTATGGTTACTTTTGATTTATTTAAATGCTTTGCTTGTACTTTAAGCCAAGTTGGGTTCTGTTGTATCTTGATCTAGTTCTTCATCAGAAATGAGCCAAGTAACTGTTTGTGGTGGTGCATTTAGAAGTTGTTAACCCATTCGTGCAAAAACAGTGTCATGTTAGAAGGGAAGACTACCTTTAGTAACACAACAGAACAAGTGGCTTTCTGAAGGTTACCTGCAAATATAAACAAAGCTTTAGTTGTACCCCCACCCAAAAAACCCCAACAGAACCAAAGAGTGTCACTGAGTTAAAATTTGCCTCTACCTTGGGGTTGCCATATTCCTAAAAGTTTTGGGGCTTTTCGTTGATTTTTAAAGCTTTTCTTTTAAACCGGACGTATGCCAGCTCTGGACGCGGGTGGCGCTGTGGGCTAAACCACAGAGCCTAGGACTTGCCGATCAGAAGGTCGGTGGGGTTCGAATCCCCATGACGGGGTGAGCTCCCGTTGCTCGGTCCCTGCTCCTGCCAACCTAGCAGTTCGAAAGCATGTCAAAGTGCAAGCATATAAATAGGTACCGCTCTGGCGGGAAGGTAAACTGTGTTTCCGTGCGCTGCTCTGGTTTGCCAGAAGCGGCTTAGTCATGCTGGCCACATGACCTGGAAGCTGTACACCGGCTCCCTCGGCCAATAAAGCGAGATGAGTGCCACAACCCCAGAGTCGGCCACGACTGGACCTAATGGTCAGGGGTCCCTTTACCTTTATGCCAGCTCTACTGGGCAAAATGCAGATTTCAACTCTTACATTCACATACCTGCTCAGCTATGTAGCCCACTGAGAGGCCTTCAGCCAGTCACTCTTTCTCAGTACAGCCTACCTTGCAGGGCCGTTGCAAATTTTAATTTGGAGGAGAGCAAACCATGTGCACTTCCTTAAGCTCACTGGGGGAAATGAAAGATAAAAATATCAGACTAAAATGAGGTAGAGTAACTTGCACCCCTCCAGATGCTGTTAGACTCCAACACTCATCATTCCTGAGCATTGACCATGCTGGTCGGGGCTGAAGGGAGTTGGACTCCAACATCTGGAGGGCCACAGCTTCTTGATCCCTTGGCTAAAATATAAGGTGGTCAACCCCTTGCATAGATATCAGAGGCAATGGGAAGAGTGTGTTTGTGGCATACCCGTGTGCTTCACTAGGGCACAGAGTCATGCCTAAATTCTTATTCCCTCTTCGATACTATTGTTTGCATTCCCCAACCCAGTAAGCTGGACACAAAACTGCATCCATGCATTTGGGGGTCTGCATAGCAGCTTTTATAATGAGTGATGGGAGCCTAGGGCCCTTCAGTTGTTGTTGGAGTCTCAACTTCCATCAACTTCAGCCAGCAGGTGTTTTATGGTCTAATGGCGAGAGGGAGAGGCCAGGCACAACAGCTATCCTTCAGGCGAGCCTCTGGGCAATGAAAGCTGGCTTTTCTGTTGCCTGGATGTATGCGCCTTATTCCCTGCAGGTATTTTTTTGTGCGTGTAAAGGTAGAGAGGAAGAAAGCAGGTGCAACAGCCGGGCCTCCGCTGAGCTGCTGGTCAACAGCAATTGGATTTTAAGCAGCATTAAATTTTGTTTCAGACGTGCGATACAATGCACCTTGTCATTTCTTAGAATTCCTAGAGAACAGCTGATTTGCTATTTTTTTAAAAAAGTATTTCAGGCAGAGAAAATGTTCTGCAGCAACGCCAGCTCTAATAACTATGTAGAGGAGAGGTCCTGAATTTACTCAGGAGGTCAGCTGAGAAGGAGACAAAAACCATCTCCCCTCCTCACAGCAAATCATAACACCTTGTATATCTAGGGGACAATCTGAACCTCTGCAGTGTCTTCTTGTCGGTTCCGCCAAGTAAAGTGTTCTGCAATTTGGGGCCTGATATGAACTACCATGAAGGGAGACAGTTATTTCGATCAAATTTTCTAAACAGCTGTTTCAAGACAGACCAGTTCCTTTCCCCAGTGATTGGATTCAAATCAAACTGTTTTTATCTCATGCATTCTTTGCATTTGACTCTTTTGTTGAATTAGAAATTTAATAGAGCAGCTGAGCATTTTAAGCAATTTTGGAAGATGGGGAGGGGGGGTGGTGGAAGAGGGATGTGAACTCCAGCACACCCTGTAAAGCATAAATTTCTTAACCAAAAGAATAGTTTATTCATATGCTCTGTACATTAGGTCAATTATTACTCACTTTCTCTGGACACCAAGCAAAGGCCTCCACCCTCTATTACACAGCTTACTGTAATCAAATGAAGAAAGAAAAGCAGAATCGTTCAAAAGCAAACTTGTGGCTTAAGCCCCAGCCCAGAGGCTGAAAAGGAACAGAAACCTCCAGCTCTATGATTCTATGAAATGATTTGCTGCATACATTGTAAGCCTTCAGGCAGGGCTGCTGTTCCATATATATACAGTACACACACACACACACACACACACACACAAGCATTCTCTTAGGTGCTTAAATATATATATAACATTTATTTCTTAATTATTTGCAGTTATATTCCATCCTTCATCAATTACATTATCCACAGGGCAAGGTACAGAAAATGATAAAACTCCATTGAAACATCGCAAATGGGGAAGTGCTATGGCTCAGCATTGCTTTGCAGAAGTTGCCAGGTTAAATCTCTGGCATCTCTAGGTAAGGCAGACATCCCTGTCTATAATCCTGGGGAGCCGCTTCCAGCCTGTGTAGACACTACTGAGCTAAATGGACCCAGTGGTCTGACTCAGGACTCAGCTATGCAGTTGCAAATAAAACATTTAAAGTGTTTTGTAAAGTGCATTATACAAATGTGACAATAGATGGCGATGGTGAGCTACGGCAAATTCAATATACTTTTTCAAAACTTTTTTTAAAAAGCATTTTCACAGCTTTTTTAATGTTTCTGGATTCCACCTCCATATAAGCCATCTTCCTGTGTTCCTAATTTAATGAGAAGAACAGTCAACAACTAGAATACAATAAAATAAAATAAAGGTAAAGGTAAAAGGGACCCCTGACCATTAGGTCCAGTCGCGGACGACTCTGGGGTTGCGGTGCTCATCTCGCTTTATTGGCCAAGGGAGCCGGCGTGCAGCTTCTGAGTCATGTGGCCAGCATGACTAAGCCTCTTCTGGCGAACCAGAGCAGTGCACGGAAACGTCGTTTACCTTCCCACTGGAGCGGTACCTATTTATCTACTTGTATTTCATACTTTCAAACTGCTAGGTTGGCAGGAGCAGGAACCGGGCAATGGGAGCTCACCCCGTTGCGGGGATTTGAACCGCCAACCTTCTGATTAGCAAGCCCTAGGCTCTGTGGTTTAACCCACAGCGCTACCCGCGTCCCTTATACAGTAAAATAGGTTTGACTTATTCAGCTCCAAAGACAATGACACAGCCAGCTATACTTCAGGAGGGATGGAGTTTCATAGCGAAGGCACCACTATACCCTGACAGACCTAATTCTCATTCAGATTTCACCAGTTAACACTCTATTGGACAGCTACTCAAGGATGCAGTGCTAGCAGCAAACTAAACATTTTTTGCCACTGTCACTACCATGCAATAGGCAGCATTATATACCCTAACTCACAATCAGGCATCTTCTCCATGAGATGTGCACTCAAACCTTCTGACTCACCTCATTATGCATGGTGGAGAAACTAGATGGAGATAAAATTTCCTGCTCCTCTCTCGTAATACTAGAAGCTGGGGCCATCCAATGAAGCTGGGTGTTGTGAAATTCCAGCTAGGATGGCATTTTAAAAATCCCAGGCTTGGAGGGAGAGGACTATGTTTTTCCTCTACTGTCGTAGACAATTTGCTGGGAATCACAGCATTCATCTCCTGCATGCAAGTTTCCCATAAGCATCTGGTTGGCTACCATGAGATGTTGGGCTTGATGGACCTTTTATCTAACCCAACATTGCTCTTCTAACATTCTTCTGTCATTGCCAAGAGATCCCCTGCCTCAAAGCCAAGATCATGTTTAAAATGCAATATTTCCTGCTGCAACTTCCAACATTTAAAATAATTTAAGACCATATCAATCATAAACAACTTAATCACCATCATAGTAGCAGCAGGAAAAGTATTTGAGAACCATATATCACAGCCAGCTAGGCCAATATGAAACTAAAAAGCAGAGGCTGCTGCTTATTGACACCCCCACCCCAGTATCATTAAAAAACTGTCCTGAACAAAAGGAACAATAGATCCCAACTAAACACTACCTGATTTTATATCTCAAGGGAAGGAATTCCATGGCCATTGCAGAAAAGACACTGTCCTTCGTACCTGTCTCTCTTCCTGTTAGGTACACGAACAGGATCTTTGTAGTTGAGATCAAATCCATGGCGTATTCCTATGGCTGTCCTTTAAGTAAAGGTAAAGGGACCCCTGACCGTTAGGTCCAGTCGCGGATGACTCTGGGGTTGCGGCGCTCATCTCGCTTTATTGGCCAAGGGAGCCAGCGTACAGCTTCTGGGTCATGTGGCCAGCATGACTAAGCCGCTTCTGGCGAACCAGAGCAGTGCACGGAAATGCCATTTACCTTCCCGCTGGAGCGGTACCTATTTATCTACTTGCACTTTGACGTGCTTTCGAACTGCTAGGTTGGCAGGAGCAGGGACCGAGCAACAGGAGCTCACCCCGTCGCGGGGATTCAAACCACTGACCACCTGATTGGCAAGTCATAGGCTCTGTGGTTTAACTCACAGCGCCACCCACGTCCCTCGTCCTTTAAGTAAGTTGGTCCTAAATTGATAAGGGTTTTAAAGGCAATTGCTGCTACTTCGAATTGGACCTGGAAGTCTAGAGGTAGCCCACGCAGTGAAGAGGTGTCACGGGGCCCAATTATGTGGAATGGGAATAGGATTTTGTCTGGAAGGAGAGTTCCTGATTGTTCCTCACTCCTAGTCAGCCAGGTTAATGAAATGAAGCATGCCACCCTATCCCTAAAATTATAGAAGCTGCCCATAAATCTTTCTTCCCTAAGTTCAGCACTCCATGGAATATGCTTGAAAACACCAGCCCAGCCACCCAGATTCACATACTTTCTCTGTCGCTCTGAAAACCCACATCTCTTCCCAAGTTTCAGTCCCCCGTTTCATCCATCGGATCGAAACCAAGTCCTCACGCCAAGCTAAAGTCTCCATTTTGCAGTTATGCCATTTACAGTACGTAGGTTTATATTACACTACTGTAATCTCCTAGGATCATAACATTTTTTTATTTATTTAAATGGAACATAAGCATATCTAACTTTCTCCAGATCGTGTCAAGTGCCTGTGATCAACGCAGAGGCATGACCCTCTCTTTGGGAGTCGCTGTTCCAGGTCTCCAAATATTCTTTCGCTATATAAAGTTTTTGTTTTTTTTTTAAAAAAAACAATTTCCCCCTAAGCAAACGTTTAAATTGGCAAAGATAAGTACTAAGTCTTGCAAGGCCAGAACTCCTGCAGGGAAACTTTTGACAATATATATAATTTGTTGTATAATTCTGTAATTTCTTCTCTTTAACTCTTAAGACATAAAGGCACATGGGCACAGTGATTTAAATTGTCCTTTGGGCAAGAGATGTGTAAGAATAATATTTAGAGTAATCTGAATAATCTAATAAAACACGAACTATCCATCCCATTTAGTGTAGTTCATTTTGAAAGAAACAGTTTTCTTTTTTTTAATATATAGTTTACATTACAGTGCTCATTGGCGCAGAACCAGGTATTGCTGGGCCGCAGTTTCTTCATCCCTGACCAGTGGCGCCAACTTAGAATCATAGAATCGTAGAGTTGGAAGAGACCACAAGGGCCATCGAGTCCAACCCCCTGCCAAGCAGACTGTGGGTGCCCAGTGTGTGTGTGTGTCGTGCCGTCATGACATCAAGGTGTGTCATGACGGCACAGGTGTGCAGTGTTGGCAACTGGGCTGCGGCCTGAGACTCGCAGTGGGGCATAGCTGTCAACCGTCCCTTATTTGGTGGGAAAGTCCCTTATCCCAGAGCCGTGTCCCGCTGCTGTCCCTTATTGATGATGTCCCTTAAATTTCCCGGGTTTCAAAGGAAGCAGCTCCTCTCCCTCCCTCCCTGCCGGCCAGGGAGGAGGGAGGCTCCAACTGTGTTGCTTGGCTGCGTTGCTCACCCAATAAGGAGTCTAAGAATGACGGGGGGTGGTGGAGCTTGCATGCCTTGTGCCGATCAAATTGGCTGCGTTGCCTGGGGACTCGCCTTTGCTCAGCGCTTCCCACCGGAGAGGTGACAGTGGTTTTCCTTGCTGCATCCCCTTTGCCGGGTTGCTGCGCTGTGGGAACCACCGCTTGAGGCTTCGTTTGGCTGCTGGCTGGGCTTTCTGCCTTTGGCTTGGAGGGGCTCAGAAGTTGAACATACCTGTGCTTGGAAAATCCCTTATGTTGGCTGCTGATCCCTTATTTTCGAGGCTGCTGGTCCCTTATTTTCAAATCTGTAAGTTGACAGCTATGCTGTAGGGCTTCTGTTGGGGCCCACTGTGGCTGCACCCACGGCCACAGTAGGTCCCAACAGAGGCCCCACGGTAGAAGTGCAGGCTGCGGCCTAGTTGCTACTGTGGCGCCAAAGTGCTGGAGGTAAGGCAGTGGCCGGTGGCATGCGGTGGCGTTGGGCAGAAGCTGGGCACCCACAGCAAAAAAATTGTGGGTGCCTGGGCCCCTGTACAGTTGGAGCCAGTGTCCCTGACCATTGACCATGCTGGCTGGGGCTATTGTCAGTTTAGAGTTGAAGAACATACAAAGGGTGAGATCTTCCCCCCACAAGCCTGTTTATAAATGCTATTGCAGGAGTGAGGAACCCTTTTTAGCTGAAGGTTGCATTCCGTTCTGGAAGCCACAGGTAGAATCAGAGGCAAAAGTGGGAAGAGGAATTAATGCATTCTCCCCACTCCTGTGTACCTCAGGCTACTTTCAACACACTTTTCCCACGCCCTTTTGTGTCCTCCATCCAGTCATGCAAGAATCATCATCAGAGTTCAGGGATGCATTTCAGGCAGGTAAAAATACTCGAGGAGTATGTGAAGCAAGGCTACTGAGAATATGTAGTACGGAGAGAACTCTGAGAGCCAAATTGATAGGCCTGGGCCAGAGGGCAACATCTGGTCCCTGAGCCTGATGTCCCCAGCCTCTGTGTTGTAGTAATAGTCCTGGTTTCATTTGCTGATGGATTGCTCCTTACATTATTTTGGGTGGTACAATATGAGTGGGTGGAAGTTTTGTCATAAACAGCTGCTGGTGCTGTTGAAACTGATTCGAAACATTCTCAAAATGCTCTGTAACTCACTCTTCATCCACCCCAGTTATGCCAAGCTTTCTCCATTGTAGAATGTCTATAACAATGAAAAACGAAACTAATATCGGGGGACACAGTTTTTTTATCAACCTAAAAAAATGGACCCAAATGGAATGTGGAAATTAGTCATTCACCAAAAAGCCATTTTGCAAATAAGATGTAACCATGCTGTATATTTGTGTTTGCTTATACCATCCTTCACCAACCTAGGGCCTTACTAA